CGTTTGCGGCCCTTAACCCCGCCAAGCCCAAAGACCTTCACCCTACACGCCTGCCTGGCCTGACCCTAAGCAGCAACAACAACCCTCAATTTGTTTCGACTCCCAAATATTTGAATGCAAACCTGTAAATCCGCGACCAACATCAGCGCACTAAACAACAACGAACAGTGAACTTTGAATACAACTTGGGATGTTCCCCTTATATATCCTCAGTCCTTAATAGGGATAATAATGGGGGTACGATAATCCCAATTAAGGACTGCTAGTAGAACGGGGAACATCCCAAAACACAACAATAAATCTGATAAACCGCATTTCTCAGCCCAGGCCTTCGATTGTCTGGACGTCGGTACCCGACGCATCCTGCATGATCACATGGTGAAGCTTTGAATCTGCGAGTTAGGATGTGAGGTTTAGGCTCAGAAAGGGGTGTGTGTGTGTGTGTGTGTGTGTGTGTGTGTGTGTGTGTGTGTGTGTGTGTGTGTGTGTGTGTGTGTGTGTGTGTGTGTGTGTGTGTGTGTGCGTGTGTGTGTGTGTGTGCACACTTGGAGTTGGGGTTCGTAGCAGCTTGAGAGATGGCTGGGGACGGAGTCTGTCGCGGCCTCTGACTCAACCCTAAACCCTAAACCCTAAACCCTAAACCCTAAACCCTAAACCCTAATCCCTAAACCCTAAACCCTAAACCCTAAACCCTAAACCCTTAACCACTCATCAAACTGCAAGGGCCCACGTCCTCATCTGCCGCTGCCACCCGGCTCCTGGAGCGATCTCCTGCTCGAGAGGTGCAACAGACCAGAGTCACAGGATTGCAGATTTCAGGCGAAAACTCCCACATGTGAAACTTGGGAATTCTGCTAATGACCTGAAATTGTGCTCTATAGGTCCTGTCATTTTGCGCGAAAGTTTCCCCTCAAATCCTTCCTTTGACATGAAAGTGCCCCAACAAAGACAAAAGGTCTATCTATGCAAATCCTAATATCTAGTCTATGAGTTCCTATACTCATCATGGCAGCATTCATACGCTAATTCCCAAAATATCTTCTAAGCTGAATTCGACATATCCCCGACGCGCACAGACAGAGACAAAGACAATCCATCAATCATGTGGTCAGCTTATATTGAGTGTTCCTTTGCACGTTCACTGAGAGCATTCCCCAGCAATCTCCATCATGTTGTTTGGAGGTTCCCTGCACAAATCCCCTGCGACACTAAAAGCACCCCGAAATCCTAAACTCTGAACCCTAAACCCGCAAATGCTGCACACTCAACATTTCAACCCCGCCAACCTTCTCACACCCAACAAAAACCTAGATGGTATATACCTGGGCCTTCAAGGGGTTCCCATATAGCAGCCTGAGGGCCCAGGTATATACTATGCCCTTCGGGGGAAGTTGACATTCAACTTTCTGCGCCTGCCCCGCGCCCGGCGCGGAAGAGTTCTCCGCTGCCAGTGAGGGCCGTGGAAGGCCTGGTAGTGGCTCGGCTTTCAGTCATTTCGAGCTTAGGGCTCAGGGCTTAGGGTTTAGGGTTTAGGGTTTCAGATGCCAAGCTTATGCGAGGGTTTGCATGGGAAGACGCAGACTTGCAGAGGATGTTCGAACTGAAGAAGTGAAGAAACCACAATGTTGAATGCCTAGGGGGGGGGATTCAAAGCCGGATTACGGTCCCCTTGTACAAAAACCTTTCGTACTAAGAGTATAAACCCCAACCATTTCGAACAGGAATGCGAAACAGCCCCTCACCCCGGAAAAGAGTGATGTAGGCGAATTTGAGGTCGATAGGGTAAAGTTCGCGGTCAACTTTAAGGAGTTCCAGGGGTACATGTGGAACATGGTCTAGGGTTTATGGAGGTTAAGGGAGTTTCAGGGGTATATGTAGAGGATGGATTGGGGCTTATGGAAGTTCAGGACATTTCAGGGTATACCTAGAGAAGGATAAGAGTTCATGACATGGTTTACGTACCCTGGACCAGTGACGTAGCCATCACCATGGCCTACACAGCCTATACACACCAAAGTAAAGGGCACATCATAGGCCAGTGTTCGGGAAACTTGCGTGGATCTGGATGTGATAAGCCTTCAAAAACCTGATACATCCTTGATAACAAACATGCCTGGTTTCGTACATTTCAACCCCGGGAATGCTTGCCCTAAACCTAAACCATTAACCCTAAACCCTAAACCCTGAACCCTAAACCCTAAACCCCAAACCCTAAATCCGAAACCCTAAACCTTAAACCTTAAACCTACGTTTAAACCCCCTTTCACGCGAGGTATCTCTACCCCGTCCTGGAGTTCGCTGCCGGTGCCGCCGCCTCGGACCGCGGGCTCATCTTTTTTCAGAGTTGAAGGAGTTTTTTTCGCTCCCGCATAGCTGGCCGTAGTTGAAGGGGGTTTAGGGTTTAGGGTTTAAGGTTTAGGGTTCCGATCCCTGCTTCAGACTCTAAAAGGTTTCAGGGCCATGAAGTTGCAGGTTGATGCTTGGGTCTTGGAGTAGATTCAGGTTTACAGCTAAGGGAGAAGGGTTTCGGCCCGAGCCAGAACCGCCCTATACGCAGATGGGGTTTAGGGTTTAGGGTTTAGGGTTTAGGCGAGCCACCTCTAAACCCTCTAAACCCCAAAAACCCTTGAAACCCTAAAACCCGAAATATGAACCCTATAGACCCTCTAAGCCCAGCAAAAGCCTGAAAAACCCAAAGAACCTCCAAACCCTCAACAGCCTGTTTCCAGTTTCGCCCTGAACGCTCGCCCTCCAAATCCTAGCCCTAAACCCTAAACCCTAAACCCTAAACCCTAAACCCCAAACCCCAAACCCCAAACCCCAAACCCCAAACCCTAAGCCCAGGCGCGCAGGCGAAGCTGGACCCGCCGACGTCTCGGCTCAAGGTGAGCAGCGTCAAGGCCAAACCCAGCAACCTGGTCTAGGGTTCAGGGTTTAGGGTTTGGGGTTTAGGGTTTAGGGTTTGGGGTTTAGGGTTTAGGGTTTAGGGTTTGGGGTTTAGGGTTTGGGGTTTTTGGGGTTTGGGGTTTGGGGGTTGGGGTTTTGGATTTGGGGTTTTGGATTTGGGGTTTAGGGTTTGGGGTTTTTGGGGTTTAAGGTTTGGGGGTTGGGGTTTAGGGTTTAGGGTTTGGGGTTTTTCGTGCCCTGTCTATTTTGCATGTTTTTGTTTTCTCTATCTCTTTTTTTGGTTAATCTGCTATTTTCTTAAGAGCCCCAAAGTAAATCATCATGCTCCCTATCTTGCCCTTAGAGGGAAGAATCTTTCTTTTTCCTACATTTTCTTTTGCACATAGTAGTCATAGCCATAGCAGTTCCAGGACACGTCGGAAGAGCGTCAAGTAACCCTAAGAATCGAACAGTAGGCCAGGGTTGAGGGTTTAGGGTTTGGGGTTTAGGGTTTGGGCATTAGGGTTTAGGATATGGGGTTTGGGGTTTAGGGTTTAGGGTTTGGGGTTTAGGGTTTAGGGTTTGGGGTTTTTGGGGTTTAAGGTTTGGGGTTTGGGGTTTAGGGTTTGGGGTTCAGGGTTTAGGGTTTGGGGTTTAGGGCTTGGGATTTGGGGTTTGGGTTTTAGGGTTTAGGAATTAGGGTTTGGGGTTTAGGGTTTAGGGTTTGGGTTTTGGGGTTTGGGTTTTAGTGTTTGAGGGTCTTAAGCGCCCTGTCTTTTTGCATGCTTTTCAGTTCCGAGCGCCCAAAAGTAAATGCTCATAATCCCTATAGTGCCCTTATAGGGAAGAATCTTTCTTTGAACAGCTTTTTGTGGGGTTCTTAAGCAGTAGTCATAGCCATAGCAGTTCCAGGACACATCGGACGAACGTCAAGTAACCCTAAAAATCGAAGACTGGCTGGCGCGGCCTGATGAACAAGCCAACCAACATCAAGTGATGGTAATACTCTAGCGAAATGGCCTTCAACAATACTATTAAGTGGGTGCATAAAAATGGACTGAATGCACCTTCAGGGTTTAAGTAGTGCCATAGAACGGAATCGAATGTTCAACGCAAATTAGAAGATTATGCCATCGCTATGGAGCCCATGCTAAGTTTCACATAACTTGAAGCCCAGGTTCAACGAGCGCACAGAAACACCGAACATTTGTTTATTCACAAGCTTCCAATGAGCCCAAATCCAAAGCCTAGACTCTGACGCTGCCTGCTAAAAATCATGATAAGGAGGTCTGTGTCGGGTGCGGAAACCCCCCCTTCAAGAATTGTGACTTGATAGGGTAGTACTTCCTGACTAAAAAAGTTATATGGTGCCTTACCTTTAATGTCTGTGGCAGTTTATGTGGAAAATATATAGGCCTGAATAATTAAATTTTGGTTTTGGGGGCATTATAGTGTAATTACAAAGGGACCATAAGGGAATATTAGTGATTCCGACCCGTATATTAGGGATTGCCCGCGCTTCTTTGGCGAGAGCGCGCTGAGGCTGGAACACAACAGGCAGGCGTGCTCGTCCTCGCATCTTTGATGCCGAGGGCTCTTCCATCACAGCGTCCCGAACAAAAATAACAATAAGAATCAGAAGAAGAAGCCTAATATTATTAATAATAATAGTAATAACAATAACAATAATAGTAACAACAATAATAACAATATTAATGGTATGATTCGCAACGTCAATTCCATGGTATTTTTCACAAACCTGGTCACACTAACAACTTGTCAGGGTGCTGAGTCTTGGTCAAGGTGTTGAGTCTTTCGGACCTGCATTGCCTTCGAAACGTTTTTGCCAGGTTAAAGCGCGACAAGCTAGCGAATGAAACAAAACATTTTGATTTGGCTCATGGTTCCTGATCGCATGGACTTGTCTCTTCATGATGCGGTCTGACCAAAAGCAACGGCGGCGCAAGCATGTGCAGAATGAAAGCGCATCCAGACACAAACGTGGGTGAAACTTCTTCAACACGTTGAAGTGTCTAAAAACAATCAGGATCCTGCTTGGGATTCGCTGCATAACTGGAAGTGCCTGCGCATCGTAACTGGCTTGGGTGCCCGGCACATCCGCGTGGCCGAAGGCAGCTGCACGGTGCAATGCTGTGTCACCAAAAGCATCCTGCAGCGAGGGCCTCTACCCAAAACTACACTGCACAACTCATTGAATGCTCCAAACTGCATACGCGGTGAGCAAAGGCAACAGCAAGTAAAAACATGCCCCAGACGCTTGTCAGCAAAACAAAACCACAGCAATTTGTCTTTTTCTTGCCCGTCCTGCCCCCCCCCTCCCTCCCCCCGCGTTGCAAACAGGCTTTCACACATCCGAAAGTAACAAGCCTGTCGTCTGTCCATTCAGCTATATGGTCAGAGCCAGTTCTCAAAATTAAGGTCCCTTTTTGGGTACCCTAAACATATTGGGGAACGCCTTTGAATAGCATATAGCAACCCCAAAAAAGACCATACTTTAGGGAAAAGAACTGTATTCTAATACATTCCACCAAGCCAAACAAAGGGCGTCCTTGACCCGCGGCTTGGCATCAAGGAACCTGGGATGCTGCAGGAGTACCTGGAGGCAAGCCACATGTGACAAGTAGCCAGGTTGATGCACTACTGTAATTTCTGATGATAGCATATCTATAGCATGCTCTAGCCTATTACAGCACATTTACAGCATGTCTGCAAAAGCATATTCTGACCTGCGAAATACAAACAAAAACCCAACATTTGAGATTGATGGACGCTAATCCGACAACAGACCCACGCGCGCAGCGTTTTTTAGCACGCATTCGCCCAACCTTCGGTGCAAAGCAAGGCTTGCGATCTCCTCCATGCTCTGCGAGAGCTCCTCGAGAAGCACATCTGCATGGGATTGAGCAAGCTCGGCCACGACAAGAAGCAAGTCACAAAACAAATCTCACGCGCCCGCCTGGGGATGAGTAAGATGCACAAAGACAAAAATGGCGCAACATGAGCTTGAAACCAATTGACAACAATTGTTTTGGTCAGTTCGGAGCTTGGACAACTCATCTACGTGAGATCAAAGGAAGCTGTTGAATTCATAGGCCACGCCACTTGCCACCACCGCCGATCTTGGTAGACCTTGTCAGAGTGGCCACAGGTCCTCCTAAAACCTAGGCCCATCACCTTTCCGACCATCTGCTTAAGAAGCGCCCCAAAAAGGAAAAAGCATTCTTCCTTCTCAACCCTAAACCCTAAACCCTAAACCCAAAACCCCCAACCCAAAACCCAAAACCCAAAACCCTAAACCCTGGCAATACAGGGATTAGGGGGTTTCTTAAGCAAATAGTAGGATGGGGGGCAACTTCTGGCTTCATGGGCTACATGCTTTGATGGTGTCAACCCAGCCAGACGTACGGTGTAGGGTTTAGGGCTTCAAGGCACAGTTGTCGGACGGCCACTGCCCAAGGACTTCCACAAGGAGCAGGGCTTATCCATGTGCTTCGATTTTGCTCTGAGTATAGAATTCTAGCATTCAAGCAAAAAAGTATTGTAGCAGGAAATTCATAAATTGTTGTACTTTCTTATCAATTTCTACGAACATGTGATTCTATGCAATATATATATATATGTATATATGTATATATGTATATATGTATATATGTATATATGTATATATGTATATATGTATATATGTATATATGTATATATGTATATATACATATATCTCTCTCTCTCTCTCTGTCTGTCTGTCTGTCTGTCTGTCTGTCTATCTATCTATCTAACACACACACATATATATATATGTATCATTACTATATATTCTTGTACTGTAAAGCCCGAAAAAACGAGAAACCGGGCAGGATGGACATGGTCCTCGGCATTTGGGCGAGTCTAAGAGCCGAGCCCTCACCCTTCACCAGGTACCTCTTCTTATAGGGTTCTTATAGGGCTTAGGGGCTAGGGTTTGGGGTTTAATTAGGGTTTAGGGGTTTAGGTTTAGGGACTAGGGGTTCTTAAGGGTGGGGGGGGTCAAAGGGGGGGGGGGGTGTTCCCTAGTACCCTACTACTCCCTAAGCTTTTCTGTGGTTTCCTCGGCTTCTACCCCGCTTGAGCACCCCTCCCTTAGAACTCTGAAATCTTTGGTTCAAGTTAAAGACTTGATAGCCCAGTAACCATATTGCGACAAGGGCACCACCATTTTTTGTGTTGGCTGCTTTATAAGGGGGCCTTGAGCAAAAGACGCGGAAAGGGAAACCTAAACCCTAAACCCTAAACCCTAAACCCTAAACCCTAAACCCTAAACCCTAAACCCTAAACCCTAAACCCTAAACCCTAAACCCTAAACCCTATACCGCAACCAAGAAGAGTAAGGAGAGCCATGGAGCGTTGGCGATGGCATTGAGAGTCACCATGTCGGGCTCCAGGTCATTGCTCCTTGGCTTCGCATCTGAGGCTTTCCCCCGGTTTCTTCACCCAATGTCGTAGATTTAGGGTTTAGGGTTTAGGGTTTAGGGTTTAGGGTTTAGGGTTTAGGGTTTAGGGTTTAGGGTTTAGGGTTTAGGGTTTAGGGTTTAGGGTTTAGGGTTTAGGGTTTAGTGCTAGGCTGAGAAAGGCTCGCATGGAATAGCCTTCTGGTCTTACTGTATGCCAGTATGTAGAAGCGACCCTAAGGCTCTAAGGACGTATAACTCACTCTGGGTCAGCAAGCCCGGCGCCCAGGAGGAGGGATGACAATAAGGTTTCTGAAGCCGTGGAACACAAGAAGGTCATCCCTCCTTCTCAATTCCCCCTCCCATGAGCAGGCTCTGGTCGCATCACTGGTCGCATCACGATGGTGTGCACCCCGCATGGCACAGCGTCTTGAAGCCGCCAAAACCCGAAGCAAAAACCCTTTGCTGCTTCTTCTGCTGCTGCTGTGCTCTGTGCTGCTGTGCTGTTGTGGTGCTCTATGCTGCTGTGGGTGCCCTATGCAGCTGTTGATTTTGCTCCAGGAAAACCCTTAACACCCTTTAAACCCTAAACCCTTTTTGCAACTGGACGGACTCCCTGCTGCCAGGATGCCGAAACTCTTCTTAGAAGAGTCGAAGAGCACAGGAAAGGCAAGCACGCACACAGTAGTCAGTGCATGCTTTCACATTAATCTTGAAGGCAAGCAATTTTACGCATATATGTATATATATAGCCCTAAACCTAAACCCTAAACCCTAAACATCCTAAACCCTGAACCCTGAACCCCTGCCCTGAAGTTCCGCAGAGGTTCTCCAGCTCCTCCAAGAGCTGCACAGCCACATGGCCGGCGGCGCCTCGCTTGCGGCTGCATTCACGAGGAAGGGTTTGGCGTTTAGGGTTGAAGGGTTTAGGGTTTTAGGGGTTTAGGGTGTTAGGATTTAGGGATTTAGGGGTTTAGGGTTTTAGGGGTTGAGGGTTTTAGGGTTTTTAAGGGTTTTAAGGGTTCAGGGTTTAGGTGTCCAACTTGTCAATGGTAAAATTCCGTAGCTCCGAGGCCCGCACCGCTGCAGGAACGAATTGCAGCGTTGTAGCTGATTTCATCAGGAGCCTGCAGCGCAGACCCTCAAGCTCCGAACACGAAGGGGTTTAGGGTTTAGGGTTTAAGAGCCCGCACTTCATACTGGAATCCTAGCTCACTCGACCGCTCGAGCCAAGGAATGATTTTATGACAGGGTCATTTAAAGCCATTGCCACTCCCCAACAGCCGACTAAAGCCGTTGACGCCACGTCTCACCGCATAAGCCTAGCAAAACTGCATGACTGAAAAAGCTGCTCTCACTGCGAAGGTCTGTTCGCACTACCTTGACGGTTCATGGGCAGCATCAGCAGGGCTACAAGCAAGGTGCCCTCACTTGGGGCAAACCGAATCCTACCTACAACTAGCCAAGTACACCCGAAGCCTCTGCAACCTTCTGATTCCGAAGCTTGCAGCTATAAGCCGCTAGAACCGTGCAGAGGGACCCCTCCCCCCCTCCCAGAAAAAAAAAACAGAAACCCTAAACCCTAAACCCTTTTGCATCCGGACTCCCGTGGGTGCTGCCAGAAACTGCCCAAGCTCAGGCTCCCAGGGCTACCCTAAACCCTAAACCCTAAACCCTAAGGAAGCTCCAGATGAAATTGCCAGCTCAAGACCTGCACAACAGCCATAGGCCCCAAATACAACCCTTAACCACAGCTACCTCCAACGCGTGCTGGTAGTACATTGAAAAAAAGCACTAAAACGACAGTTGTAGTACCATTCATATGTACAACATGACTCAGTAAGACCATAAACATGGCAATAAGGGGCCGTGATCTCAGAACAAACAGAGCTGACTGTATGGTTGCTGTGTGGCGCTGTGGCTGTTCATGGTGTAAGCTTGCCAAGGTGCCAGGCCAGTGCGCTGCATGGCCGTCAGAAGGGCCTGAATTCTAGAGTTATATAGGGTTAGGGTGCGCTGTTCGCCGCCGGGCTTAGGGTTTAGGGTTCAGGGTTTAGGGATTAGGGTTCCGGTAGCAACCTTTTGGTGCTGGCTTTGTTCCTGAGGGCCTTTGAGGCCTTTTAGATGCAATATCGTTGACAGGGGGTCTCTTGTCCACACCGAAATGGCAACTGACCCTGAACGCGGGCTGAAGACATGAAGAGATCTGATATGCCGCCCAGACCTCCCTTTTTTTTCTGATTTGAAGGGGTATTGGGAAGATCCGGATGGAACTCCGCCACAATGGATTTCTTTTCGGTAGGGGTTTAGGGGTTAGGATGTTGATCCTAGTTTCGTGAAAACATCGGAACAACCTTTGGCTTCCTCTCAAGCCCTCTTTCTTTCATCTGTCTTGCCGCTGCCGGGCCAGTTCCTCTGGCTGGTTCTTTGAAGGGAATGAGGGAATGAGGCACCCTATATCCCCCTGTATATACCCTTTAAGGGATTCTGTAGGGTACCTCATACCCTCATTCCCTACTAAGGACCAAGGGGTCTTAAGCGCCAGACAAGCGACCAAACAACAGGCCCAGCGCTGGCTGCGCTCGCAGGCACTGATCGCGGCGTTGTAGGCCTCTAGGGTGACTGCTTGGGGTTTGGACCCTCTAACCCCTGAACCCACAACCCAAAAATCCATGGAGGGTGTCCCACCCCATCCTACTCCAACCCTAAACCCCAGAGAACCCGTTGAACTCCAAAACTTAACGCCGGCCCACAGTCACAGAAACATGTGCCACGATACCCTCCTTTCGGGTTTAGGGTTTTGGGGTTTAGGGTTTTGGGGTTTGGGGTTTAGGGTTTAAGGTTTAGCTGCAGAGGGTCTCTGGCCAGGCTTCTAAACTCGATAAGCGCAGGCCTCGGCCCGACATTCAAAGACATGAAGCCCCCTTCTGAACTACCGGAAGGCTCTAATTGTAGTTCCTTTTGGATTGGTGTCAGGTGAAGGGGGGGGGGGTTAGAAAACTACCCTTAAGAAGGAATACACCGGAGCCTTGAGGCACACTACAAACTGTGTACACTTTATCCCTGCCTCCAAGCTGGGATTGGTGCCGAAGGCCTGCCAATCGCTGCAGGTCACGGCGCTTTATTCTACAGCAGGTGATTCGGCAGATGCTGGGCCATGCAGTTCGCCACGTATATATATATATATACTCTCCAAAGAATTATACGGGATCAGCTGAGTGTGGGCAAAACCACTAAGCAGGGCAAGTGGATCGTGAGGCTCCATAGGCTCGGAGCTTCGCAAGAGCCTTCAGAAACTAGAAGCCCTAAACCCTAAACCCCACTCTGCATCCCGAGTTCTGAAGCCTCTTGAACTTAAAAACAACATCAGTTGCTCCACGATGGGTTCTGTTAAGAGGCTGGCTGGGGGAATCTAAGAGCGACAAAAGCACGACGAAACAAACCCTTGGAGAATTCTAGAAGCCAGAATGTGGGCATTGAACCGATGATGTGCTCAACCCCCCCCCCCCCCCCCCAAGAGAGGCATGGCCAAAGAAGCTACTGCTAGAGCTTGAACTTTTGCACCCGAAGACACCTAAACCCTAAACCCTAAACCCTAAACCCTAAACCCTAAACCCTGAACCCTGAACCCTGAACCGTAAACCCCAATCCCTGAAACCATAAAACCCTAAAACCCTAAACCCTCTCTCTCTACCCTAAACCCTAAAACCCTAAACCCTAACCCTAAAACCCTAAACCCTAAACCCTAAACCCAGTCCCCACTGCAACTGCTTAGGAGCTCGGGGTGCCTCCTCGGCGGAGCTGACAAGACGCAGGGCCCACTGCCAGTGACCAGCCTTCTCAATCGCGCCTGCAAGAAGCAAGAACACATAATCTGCAGAGCCTATTAGGGTCTGCAGAGGATGTGTAGAAATAGGGTTTAGGCTAAACCCTAAACCCTTAACCCTGAACCCTGAACCCTGAATCCTAAACCGTCTTGCGCAAACTGCGCAACATTCCACAAACTCGATAAAACCAAGGCACTGAGACACGACCTTTCAGAATTCTACCCTCCCACACAGGATGCAAATCAGGGGACAAGGAGGGTGGTGCAGAATCGCTACGACCGTCAACCCCAAACGCTGCACCCTAAACCTCAAACCCCAGAACATCTACATCTGATTATCAACAGCCCTGAACCCTCAACCCTAACAATCAAAGGCCCAACAGCTTAGAAACCGGAGTTGTCCGTCTTTTCTGTTCGCCTCCGGCCTTTAGAATTCTGATCGGAGCCCCGTGTCTGTAGAGAATGAATAAACCCTAAACCCTAAACCCTCAACCCTAAACCGCCAACAGTACGTGCTGTGGAGAATAAGCAAAGAAAAGCATGTCAAAATGAATCTGGCAAGAAGAAAGATCAACAACACATCCTTGTGCATGGCCGAAACCTTGAATACCGCAAAATACATGGTTTTCGTTGAATAACATAAATGCAGCAAGTATGAGTATGTACATACAAGGTGTGATCCTGGGGGGGGGGGGGGCGACCATATATGTATATGCATATATGGATATGTAATAACGCATGTGATGTATATGTATATACACATGCATCTATGTTAACTAGAATCGCCGCGAAGCGGCTCACGGCGGAGCTGAGCGTGACCGCGTTGGGAGTGAGGCCCGCGTGCGGCATGTGCGACGCACACATGCCTTCGAAGAGTCAGGGTGGCCCAAAACCCTGAACCCTGAACCCAGACCCTACAAGCCTTAAAGCCTAATTAGGTTCAGTTTGTTGTGTCTACGCAAGGCCCCCTTGCCTGAAGGTTCATGGGTAGCCATAAGTGGGGTTATATATAGGTTTCCTGACCTAGAACCGTATAACTACCCATCAACCTTCAAGAACAGCTTGCCCCTATAATCCCTGCTCGCTACAAGGAGGGTTCCCCTTACTTTTCGAACTATAGTCAAGGGACTTACAACTTAAGTTAGGATCCTTCTAACCCAATTGAGGGTTCGTATAACTCTACTTGGAACTAGGCAGGGGGGGGGGCCCTCCTTGTATGGGCCTATAGCGATGATTCTGTTCACTTCACAGTAAGAGGGCCAGGCATGGTTCTAGAGTACAAATGGCAATAGTTTGCTGCATTGAAAACGGCAATATTTTGCTGCATTGACATGCTACTGTTTATCTAACTATGCATTGCACTGTAAGAGAATATACTTTTCCGGTCTCGTAGTTTCGGGTTTAGGGCTTAGGGGTTGTCAGAGATGTTTAAGCATGCGTGTGCGTGCGTGTCCCCGCGTCTCTATCGCCGCGTGTCGAAACTGCCCCTGGCCTATATGCCATCTGACTTGTCATGACTTGACCTAAACAAAGCCCAACAAGCCCGGATTTCATTTGAACATTGTAACCATCGGAACCCATCTACATCGCCACAAAACAAAACCTCTTGAGGCAGCAGGCCAAGGGCAAATTGCCAACTTCCCGCGCGCTGCGGGATGCTTGCACTGCACGCAATGATGTCCTCAGGGGCTCGCCCCTTCCAGTGGGAAGTGGTTTCATTGAGTTTGTGGGCTGCCAGTGAACACTTGCCTGATAGCGACTTCACCATGGGAGGTGGCTATAGATTCTCAAATCCCGAGTTGATGCTTCAGCCCCTTGCTAGCTGCGGACGTGCCGAGCGAAACTCTGAAAACCGGCAGGCCAAAAAACACACATGGGCAACTAGTTCAGGCCAAGTCCAGTCTGTGTCACGCATTCTGCGCAACCTTTATGGTTTGCTACATCAGTTGGGCCCTTGCCCATGCAGCCGACGTGCTCCAACAAACCTCGTCTGATCACCCAAGGTTCTGACAAAGGGAGCCTGCTTACTATGCGGAGGAGCACCGAGAGACGGCCATCTCAACAATGTAGGGTGCTTAAACTGATCAAATGTAAAGCCCGCACATTCTAAGTCCCTTTTACCCTCCCACTGTCAGCCGCAGAAAACCACTCCCACACCCGTAAACAGCCTCCATCCCAAACCTTTCAATTTTGCAAGAACCCCGAAATACACCTGAAGTTCAAGGGCCTCAGCACGACAGACCCTGCTTGAAGGTTCATGGGTAGTGTCTTACCGGCAGTCAAGGGTTATAAGTACCTTAGCTAATTTTGTAGTATGGGCCGCAATACAATACTACGTACACCTCAACTGAAAAACACCGCTGAACCTTCAAGTGATCCACTTGCTCCCTTCCGGGCCCTCCCATGCACCCCGTCCAGCTGCAACTTGCTCTCCCGCATCTCAGTCCTGAGCATGTGGGCTCGCCGTTTGTTTAACGACGAAATTTCCCAAAATCACAAATTCTACTCCGTGTCACTCTGTCCGTCTGAACGTGCAAAACGTAATAACATAAGGACGTTTTGAGCGTGCAGGCACACAGGCATATGTACACGTTTAGAGTTGCAGTATGCCACAAAGATTGTGAGGGAGAGAACGAGTTCGGACTTTCGGCATAATCCTTAAACCCTAAACCCTACTCAAACACTTCTTTTGTTAAGGGTGGCAGGGGGGCTAGGGCTTATGGGGCACCAAAGCCGGCAAGCTCTACAAACAACAAAAGCAACCCTAAACCCTAAACCCTAAACTGAAGTCACCCGACCAGAACTGGATCGACTCGCCAAGCTTCGTGCGCCCTGAACTGAACTCGCTTCAGAAACGAGTTTAGAAGTTATGTTTGAGCCTGCCTTTGGTTTGATTCTTATACAAATCATGAGAAAAAACTACTGTGGAGAACCCGACTCCCGAAAAACCAGCTGAAATCAAGGTGTGGCGCAGGAGACGTTGCACAATCTCGCTGCGGTCACCCTGCGCACAAGCACGGAGGCAGCAGCTGAAGCTGATCCTGAGCAATTTTTTTTTTAGGATTTGGGGTTTAGGGTTTAGGTTTAGGGTTTAGGGGATGTTCCCCCCTTATACTAACAGTCCTTAATAGGGATTGAAGTACCCCCCCCCCCCCGTATCAAAACACCTACTCAGGACTGTTAGTATAAGGGGGCAACGTCCCAAAGCAATTCTCACAACTCAGCTCCTTTCGGGCAAATTTCGCATGTGGTCTTCTTGCTGTGTGTATTCATATTTCGTTATTTCTGAATTTGTTTTCATGTATTAATTCGTTCTAGAGAAGGAGAAAAAACCAAGCCCCGCACAGGTTGCATGCCCCAGCATGGTTTTTCGATCTCTTCCTCTCTCGAATGATCGACCTAGCAAAAATGTGTGTGCAAAGATGTAGATATGTAGACATATCTACATAGATGTTGGTCTCTACTATTCTATGTAAGCAAAAAGATAGATAGACAAATGTATATCTACCCAAAATGCGTGTATATCTATGTACATACTCTGCATCTCTCTTGCGAACGATAACTCCGATGCCACAAGCCCTCACACCCCAAACCCTCGAAGCTTCGCCGAGCATCGCATCTGGTGCTGGGCCACGAGTTGTCATCTCCTTGAGGCATCAGCTGGGTCAATCTGAGGTATACTCGTTGCACAGCCCCTGATGTGCAGCTCGACGGAGAGCATAAGTCTGGGAGTTCACTGCCGAAGTGCTGGCCATTCAAAGCATATGGTAGGTTGGGTTTCTAGGCTTTCGTGATTCGGAACAGGGTTTCGGGAGACTGCGGCCTAGCCGACCCCGAGTACGGTGCAGAGAGCCTCTCCTCCAGCAGGGACAAGCACTGCTCCCATGATGCCTCCCGTCAGTCAAGCCAGGCACACGTTCTCACGTGCTTGCCTACACCACTTGCACTAAACTTAAGGGGTATAAGGAGGGACCCGTACAAGGGACCGCAGGGGTTATTTAGGGGCTATTTGGGGGCTACTTACCTCCTTCTACCCCTTATAACACCCCAAAACCCTAAACCCTAAAACTCCAATTACCCCTCACAGGCCTCTCTGGGATCGTGTCCATGTGGTCCATCCGACCACGTACCCTGCAACCCTATAAACAGCCCCGGTTTGGGGTTTAGGGTTGGGCCACAAACTCCGAACATTCCAAAGCCCGCGACGCCCCAGACTTTAAGTCCAACACTGGCTTGCTTGTTGGGGACCTAATGAACCCCATAATTGGGTTCATACACCCTGTGGGACTACAAACCCTATGAAGGTATATAAGCCAAACCCTTCTAGAGTTCATTTAAGCCCCCCAAGGCTGCTGGGGCCGAAAACATGTTAACGTAGCAAGGGAACTACAGATACATGCAAGGGTGATTTAATGAAGTGGCTGCTGCTATCTTCTGTAGACGGGACAGGGTGGCAGGACTCAAGCATGTGATGTTGCCTTGCGGAGAAGTTCAGGAAGCCAGGATCCAGCTCGAAACTCCAAGCCCGCCATTCCCCCAAGTAACAAGCCACATACGCTTCAACGATGGAAATGGGCTTACAGTAACCAGTGGGTATACTGCAAAAAACCTCCGAACAACCCTAAACCCTAAACCCTAAATACTGAACCACCACATGGCTGCCCCGCAGAGCCTCGCACGCAGCCAGCACAGCGTTGTAAGACGACGCGCTTGGCCGCAGCGACTTGTCCTTTCTCCACATTTGCCTTTAGGAAAACGAAAGAAGAGGTTTACGACCATAATATAGTCCCCCACAAAGGGAGCCCTTAGTATAGTCCCCCAAAAAGGGAGCCCGAATATAGTCCCCCCAAGAAGTAGGATTCCCTTATCATAAGGACCCGAGTAAGGTACCCCTAATTTCGGCAACTCCAAAGGAGACGTGGGCCGAGGGCCGCTGCGGCGTCTCTCAGCTTATCTTTGTTGAGGGTTTAGGGTTTAGGGTTAGGGCTTTAAGCAGTATCTGGTGGCGAGTCTCTCTGTCAGGGTGTCTGGGTGCCTGGTAAACCCTCACCCCTAAACCCTAAACCCCAAACGGTTCCGACTTAAGGATCAAGGGCTCCAACCCCCCCTCTCCTAGAGCCCCATGAGCAGCCGCTTTCACTCGTTTCACGTGCGACTGGTCGCCATGTCTTATTTTCGGGGCCCGATCCCATTCCCCCGTTTATGCTGTAGACATGGCTGTCGCCACATGCCATCTCGCTCCTATTCTGGCCCCGACCGCGTGGCCTAGTGACGGGAAGCAACAAGCCCAGCAGCATGTCCACATCTGCTTGCGCATAATCAGTTATACGTGAATCCGGGGCCCAAATTACAAGTATTCCCGCGTAAGGACGTAGGTCTCAGTTGGGATCCCAGTGCTACTTATAGCACATGCGCTCTCTCTTCCCGTCATCAAAAAACGATAAGCTCGTCAGGCTGATGTTTGTTTTTAGGGTTTAGGGTTTAGGGTTTAGGGTTAAGGGTTTAGGGTCCTTCATGTCTGACAGGTAGGCCATCGCCCTTGCCGGGGCGGAAGCAGCTTGGCAGGCGGCGATGGCGTTGTTGTACATGATGACGTCCGCCTTCACCTCAGACTCAAGGGGCTTCAGGGACACCTCGTTGCAGGCATAGGGCCTTAAGGGCTCTATACCAAACCTCCTGCTTATAGAGCCTATGTTGCGCAGCAATGTCCCCTCTTAGCGGTGTGCTGTGCTGGCTATATAGTCTATATAGTGTAAACTCCCAAAACCTTGCAAACGTCTCCAACTCGAAGCCCGTCCAGGCACGGAAGTGGCCGACCAAAGCCACAAAGCCCAGCGCCAGCGCGCAGCAGCCACACAGGCCGTGAGCAGCGTCTTCAGTGTCACCGGCGTGCTTTTTTTGTTGTAAGGGGGGCGGGTTCAGGATGCCATGTAAGGACTTAGGGTTTAGGGTTTGAGGGCGAAAGCTCAGGCTCGTGGGGTTTAGGTCTTTCTTGCTTTTGGGGCTTATAGGGCGGCTTCGCGGCAAGGGTCGTGTCAAGATTTGAGAGCTAAACCCTAAACCCTAAACCCCTAAACCCCTAAACCCTAAACCCTAAACCCTAAACCCTAAACCCGTGTTTCTGAACTGGATGCTCAGGGAGCTCAGCAAATGAAGCAGAGCTCTGGTTACAGTCTGGCTTCGTGAGCACCTCTTGGCCTGCTCAGGGTTTAGGGTTTAGGGTTTAGGGTTTGGGGTTTGGGGTTTAGGTTTTGGGTTTAGGGTTTAGGGTTTAGGGCCCAGGGCTTAGGGCTTAGGGCTTAGGGTTTGAGGCTCGGGGTTTAGGGTTAGGGCTTGGGGTTTGGGGTTCAGGCCTGCTAAAGCACAAGATGCCCCTTCCCAATCTCAAACCCTAAGCCGGCCCACACAAAAGCATGAATCAGCACCAACTGTCGGAAGCTTTATGACTCCAGGCTCATGACTGTACAGAGCATCTTGAAGCCACATCGGCCACATGGAGTCTACTTCGCGTCCTAAGGCCAAGACGCAGCTGGTCTGTCCACAGCTTTTGCATCGCCCGTGTGCACGTGTTGACATATCAAGTCCCTGGATGTCCCGGGGCACTTGCTTCGCTCCAACCGCTGCCCAAGTCGATGGCAGTCCAAACATGCGTCCAGTCTACGCCAGCTTCCGAGTTCAGGATCTCAAAGGAGCGGATCGTATTGCCAACATGGGAGGCTTGCTGCAATCGGATTCTGTGGATAGCAACTGGCTCTTGAAAAGTACAGGCCACCCACCCTCCAATCTTACCACTGCCGAAAGTTGTCTCCCAGAAAGTGTCAGGTCTACCGTCAAATGCGTTATTTGCAACATTCTGGGCGTTTCTCTCGGCATTGCTTCTAACGTCTACTATTCCTTCCGTGGGCACCAGCCTGTTGTGCTGGTCATAGAGCTCAATATTGTAGATCATCGCCTCCCAATCAGAGCCCTCTGCCGCAGTGCGCAACTGCCAGTGTCTTCGACAGCCGGTATCGCAAATGCAGGTCAGTTCTGCTGCCTCATTGATTCCCAGGTCTGACAAAGACATTAGCATGTCCTTGGCTACGAACTGTCGTGACCCTCGGCACAAAAGGATGGCGCTGACTGGCATCTCGAACTCCTCCGCAACACGCACGCTCAGGGACTCGAGGCGCTCGTCGGGCAAACATCCTCTGAGCTGTCGCTGATCCCCACTCGGCCTGGAAATAACTACCGCAAAGGCCTCCAGCGCGTGTATGCGATCGTTCAGCCTTTGGATCAACCGGTGTCGGACTGCTCGCAGGACGGAAGGGTCCGTCTCACCTTAGTTGTCCAGTACCTAGGGGAACTAAAGGTTAACCTTAGGGATTATAAGGGAATATATTACCCCAAAAAGGTTTATTAAAGGTTGCATACTATAATACTCTACCCTAAACCCTAAACCCTAAACCCTAAACCCTAAACCCTCAACCTGAGTCACAGTCAATGGCCAACTCCAGGTTTTGCAAGGAAAGCGGCAAAGTCACAGAGCTCACACTCGCATCTGCCATGGCTCACAGGCCCTTGATCTACTTCCAACGCTGTAGGTTGGGACGCTCCCCCTTACTCTAACAGTCCTTCCTAGGGACTATAGTACCCCCTTATTCGGATCCCTAGTAAGGACTGCTAGTATACGGGGAACATCCCAAGCTGTATGGCATGAAGGCATGTGCTTCAGCGACCTTTTGAGCTTCGAGCCAGCTGCAATTGCAGCGCTGAGAGGCCTTTCACAAACCTCCAGCATTTAACCTTTGCAGACAAAGAAGCTACCCTTCGAACGGGAGATATCAGAAAAGAGTAACCTACGTGCAAGATTGCGAAGCTAGGTTCAGCATAACCCTCCAAATTCTGATAGGAGACGCTGCTCATCCGTGTATTCACTGGCACGAAGCAGCGCGACATCCTCGAGGCACGGCGAGGCAAGACAAAAATAGCATAAGGACAAACTTTGACTTGAGCTCCGTTTGACATTTGGTCACTTCTCAAAATGGTGGTCCCTTTCTAAGTACCTACAAGACCCCGAAAGGGACCATATTTTAGAGAACTGACCCATTTAAGCTTTACAGGTGCCACAAAGAGGAGGCGGCAGTATGCCATGCCATCGTTTCTGCACGAAAGCCTCCCCACATGCCCACCAGATGTATTGGGCCTCTGGGTAGAAGTTACGCACGGCCAGTACTCTGGATTTGTGATCACAAAGCCAGGCATCCGGCCGGCACTCAGAGTAGGTTCAATCAGCAATCAACCCAAGCCTTCGCAACGCCGCTGCCTCTCAAACACGCAGGGTTTAGGGATAGTGTGTAGGGTTTAGTAGGGTAGCAACTTTTCGCTCGAACAGTCCTCTCTGCATGATGAAGGGCGTGGGCCCAACCGTGCGCCTTGCCTCAATCGCCAGGCTCGGCACGACGCCACGGGGGTTGCTAGGTTTTTTAAGGTTTGAGGTTTCCTACACTTGAAGGTTCGTGGGTACGAGTAGTTATAAGTAGGGTTATATGTAAGGTAACCTCTGTTACAACCTAATTAGGGTACTTACAACCCTACTTATAGCTACCCATGAAGAGCACAGACTCCTTGTAAAAGGGAAGCCCAGCCATTTCCATGATGGCTAGGTACCGGTTTTGCGGTTTTGCAGGTAAAAGGTTCTTTCAGGTCCACCAAGCCTCCCCCCCAACACAGAGTCTGCCTAGTTGTCCAGTATGTAGGGGGGACTAAAGGTTTACCTTTGGGATTATAAGGGATTATAAGGGATTATAAGGGATTATAAGGGATTATATTCCCCCAAAAAGGTTAAAGGCTACCTACTCCACCACTAAGTCTAGAGGCGCAGGGTCGTGGGATGGCAGGTTGAGGGTCTTTGGCAGAAGTCCAAAAGCACATCATCTGGCATTCAAAGCCTAAGCGCTCTAAGCGGCATTCAAAGCCTAAACCCTATAAGCCCTGCTATTGAACCCGGGCTCTCTGAGGGGACCCTGTTTTGGGGAAAACAAAGGTAGGCAACACTTAGACCGGACAAGGGATGCACTCAAAACTAAGTTCGCCTAAGCCCCTGCCCCTTCGTACGAAGCCCCGTGCCCTTCTGCTAACTTCGTAGAACCTTCCCTGAGTTCGCAGGGGCATCTACTCTCCATGGCTTAGTCTTCCAGCTAACCCTTGGGCCCTTCGTGAACCTTTCGTCGGGTTCGCAGAAGTTCGTGGCACCCAGTGCTGCCCCGCTAAGTTCGTGGAATGGGTGCCTGTTGCCCGTCAGACAGTTACCTACCTCCGTGTTGCCCTGACCTGTAAACCCTCCAGCCCTAAACTCTAAACCCTAAACCCTAAGCCCTAAACCCTACACCCTAAGCCCTGAACCCCAAGCCCTATAAACCCTAAACTTTAAACCCCAAAACCAAGCCCAGGCTGCCGCAGCTGCCCAAGAGCGTGCTAAACACCACGACGTTCGCCTCGATGCCTCCAGGTTTCCTAAGTTTCGGGCTGTGTGTTTTTTGGGGGTTTAGGCGGTTGAGGGTTTACAGAGTTTAGAGAGGGAATCCTGTTTCCACAAAGTGACTTTTAAGAGGGTTCAGGCGGTTTAGGAGGGGGGGAAATCCTGTGTCCAAAGCAAAGTTTTCTGTTTAGGATATTCCACAACGGGACTAGATTGTGGAGAACTGCCCGTCCCGCACGAAGAGCAAGTGGCATGTTACGAAGGGTTTTAAGTTTTATGGGGGCTGCTTCAACAGGGCCCTACAAAGCCCGGTTTTGGTTTCCATAACCGGGGGTTTAAAGTTCTTATTTTGGGGCTTTGGTTTCTGAAGGCAGGGTTTGGGGTTTAGGGCAAAGCCCTAAACCCTAAACCCTAAACCCTAAAACCCTAAAACCCTAAAAACCCAAGCCCCTTGGTGGGCTCAAGGCACGGATGCGCCTCGCGCCGTCATGGCATCGCAGCAGTTCAGTGATCGGATCCAGGCCCTCTGGGTGACTCTCTCCTTTGGGGCGGTTTAGGGTTTAGGGTTTAGGGTTTAGGGTTTAGGGTTTAGGGGGGTAAGGGGCGGAGTGGGGGGAGGTAGGTACCCTAGAGGACTTTAGGGAAGCTTAGAATACCTTAGGAGTAGTAGGGAGCATTAGGGAACCTTGGGTTATATACCCCCCTGAACCTCCCTCCCTTAAGAACCCCATAAGGAGGAGTGTAGCCGATTTGGGGGGTCGGATCTGTCATGTCACGCGACCTGCCCACAAAGTGCCCTGTCCCAACAACTGCCTCGGGTTCTTCCAAGAGAATGTTTAGCAACCTATGTCAAACACCAATGAACCAGCATGCACGATGCCCCGACGGGAATACCAATGGTATAAAATGGTGACAAGCAAGGTAGGTAAAGATGCGAGAAGTCAAGAGGCTCAGAAACGCACTTGCTCCAACCACGAAACTCTCAAAATACTGAACCCTAAACCCTAAACCCTAAAACCCTAAAACCCTAAACCCTGAAAACCGGTTGAAGACATCCCTGCCTCCTCTCCAGCAACATTGGCCGAGAGGACTGCTCCATAAGTGACAACGTTTGGGGTGGTGCCGGCGGCGCACATCCCGTTCCTGGGGTCAGCGGCGAGGTGCATCCCTAAACCCTAAACCCTAAAACCTAAACCCTAAACCCTAAACCCTAAACCCTAAACCCTATTGCAACCCCAGGCCGCTCTCCCGAATGTCTGCTTCTTGGGGCCGTGCCTCGAACCTTGCACACCTCAATGCCCCTAAACTGTGGATGCCGAAGGACATCGTTTCCTAAAGATCGGAACGCTTTAATTTCAACGCTCTCTTTACAATGACATGCGAAAGCTAAGGTTTTCGTGCCTGCAAAACTACACACATAGCGCCACCGCAATCAAGCAACGACCCTGAATTCGCCCTAATACTAATAGTACCCTCTTAGGGTCCCTATGTAGATATACCATAATGACCCCCCCCCCCCCCAAGACCCTATTCCAATGATTCAGGCCCCTAAAGGCACGGCAAGAGGAACGTGAAGACCGAGGCTCAGCAAAGAGAGTGGCGGCGCCCATTGGCCAGCAGCCTCATGGGCTTTGATCACCTGCGTGTACCTCACTTGGCATTGCAAAAACATATTATACATATGAGTCTCGGGCTCCCGGGCCCTACCCCCCACTCCCCATGGCACCCCCCCCTTCAAGGGAACCCGCCCCCGCACCATGGTATCCGCCGCCCCCGCCGCCCCCCCCCCCCGCCCCCCCCGGCCCCCCCCAAACCCCAAACCCCTCCCGAAGCCAGAAACCAACCTTAAACCTCACACCCTTAACCTGAACCGTAAACCTTGCACAGGCAAGGGGGGGGGGCTAGCTAAACCTTGAACGCTAAACTGATGTAAACCCTAAACCTTTTTGCAACAGGCCTCGTGATGCAGCAGCCCGGTAACAGCAGACCACTCACAACCCTAAACCTTAAAGCTTAAACCCTAAACCCCCCAACCACAGGCGGCCGGTCTCTTAAGCCTGCAACCCCAAGTCCTAACCCCAACCCCCCAATCACACCATGTGCCTAAACCTTAGACCCTAAACCCCGAACCCTAAACCCTAAACCCTAAGCCCCAAACCACACCGACACCACAAGGGGGGCGAGGGGGCAGGCCCATAACCTTAAGGGTAGGGATCCAAGGGAGGATGGGGGGGGGGATACCATGGGGGGTGGGGGGGTGGGGGTGGGGGGGGGGGGGGGGGGGGGGGGGGGGGGGGGGGTGGGGCTCGGGTGAGTAGGGCCTTGGCCGGGGCGCTTCTGTGATGTTCCAAGTGTTTCAAGGCTTCGGGGTGGTCATTGGGGGCGAATTTTTCATAGACATCGGCAGAACTAATAATCACATTCCCTTAGAGCCCCTTAGCAACTATACTAGAAGAACCCCCAAAACCCTTTCTCCAATTATTCAGGCCCCTATATTATTCAAATGCCTGAGGCGCGTGCGTTCAAAAGATCACCGCCAGGTCTCTGCTCCATACTGACAACTGCACTCGGAGCCCCTGCGACAGCTACGACAACCTTGAGGTAGTCATTTCTGGTCCCTCAATATGGCCCTCTATTGGGGGACCCTTCTATACCCCTTATATGTATATGTATATATATATATATTTATATTCAGAAGCCAAGAAACTACCCTAAGAGACCGTTCAGCCACAGTGCGTTATGGCATCTGGCTCTTGCTCATGAGCGCGGAGGGAGCGAAACAAGTCCTTGCTGGGCAGCTGTGGCATAGGGTTTAGGGTTTAGGTTTTAGGGTTTAGGAGAAAAAGGCACACCGAAAAAGCATGACAAGATGCGACAACTTCCTCTCACACGTATGCCGGGTTTCCGAAGATAAGGGGCTCCTAATGTAGACCCCCCAAGTAGTAGGATTCCCTTATAATCAGGACCCCAATAAGGTACCCCCTAATTTCGGAAACCCCCCCAATTGCTTAAGAACCCAAAAGAATGAGAGAAAATACCCCCATATTGCCCTTACAAGTAAGAATCATTTTAACCCTAAACCCTAAACCCTAAGCCCTAAACCCTAAACCCCAAACCCTAAACCCTAAACCCCGAAAATGGTCCAATCCAACTATGTGTAGCAGCACACCTGGCCTTGCCCCTCGCCAGACCCCTTGTAAAGGTCGCTACATGAGCAGACGCTGTCCAAGTCCTTTTGTTGTGTTCGGGTTAGGGTTTAGGGTTTAGGGTTTAGGGTTCAGGGTTCAGGGTTCAGGGTTCAGGGCTCAGGGTTTAGGTTCAGGGGTTCTTGAACATGGATGTTAGTTCGAAGCAGCGTGGCAGGAATGCCGACGGCGAGGCTCGAAACTGATTGTTCTAGCGCGAGGCCGGGGTTGTGCTACGTTATTTGGGAAAGGGGGAAGCGCCTCTGTAGCCGTTCCTTTATGGTCCTGCCAAGATAATGGGCGCATAATCCTGGCAAATCGGTTGCACAGAACACGGGGACAAAGATTGACCACTAAAATCCTAAACCCATAAGGCCTGCTAAGGGGTTCCATTTCTTGTCCCAACCACGCATCATTGGTGGCGAGCTGCAACAGCGCAAAAGCTTAAACCCTGTGCAGGTTCCTTGGGCTGCAACGGTTCACTCCCAGAGACTACCCGAATCAAGGTTAGAATGTCCTAACCCTACGTCCCTTTTGGGGTACCCTAAAAATTAGGTGCCGTATTATAATAGGGATCCAAAAAGGGACCATAATTTGCCAACCACCCACGTAGAACTACCCAATGAACCTTCAAGTCGTCCGCCGCATCCAGGCCCTAAACCCTAACCCCTAACCCCTAAACCCTAAACCCTTTTTGCCACTGGACTGAAGGCAAGCCAGACTCCCCTGAACCCTAAACCCTAAACCCTAAACCCTAATCCCTAATCCCTAAACCCTACACTCTGGCTCTGTAAGCCGAGGGTCAATGGCCCGCGAGGTCTCGCTCTGAGAGCCCAAGGCGCCAAGGAGAACCTGGTCGAGGGTTGAAAAATTTAGGGTTGAGGGCTAGGGTTTGGGGTTTGGGGTTTGGGGTTTCGGGTTTGGGGTTTGGGGTTTGGGGTTTGGGGTTTGGGGTTTAGGGTTTAGGGTTTAAGCTTTAGGGTTTAAACTTTAGGGTTTAAGGCTAGGATTTGGAGGGCAGTTCAAACTTGGGTGTCTTCTTGAAGTCCCCGGTCTAACTTAGCCATTCCTCTAGGGTCTAGGGTTTAGGAAAATATTGCGCAAGTTGCCAGTCCACAGTTTTGTACCACCTCCCTTGTGACCTGTACTGTTTGTGCGGGCCAAAGATGCGAGGGTTTTCGAGGCTTGAGGAAAGTGGACTAAGAAATTGAGATTCCGCATCGGATTCTGGGAAGCTGCGAGTTTAGTTAAGAAGTCGTCCCGAAGACATCTCGGAACTGAGTTGAAACTTACTTCGTCTAGCTTCGATTGTAGAGGAAACGAGTACGTATTTCATTCAGCAAGTCAAGTACCCTAACCGCTAAACCCTAAACCCTAAACCTGCTCGGCAAAACCTCCTGATCACTCCGGGGAGGCTCTCGAACTTCCGCTGCCACGTTGAATACCCGGATGGGCTACTAGACCCTTGAATGCTTCAAAAAGGCCCCGTTTAGGGTTTACAGGGTTCAGGGTGTAGGGTTTCGGGAACCTTATTTTACCCGATAACCTCTTCTAAAAAAGGGCTAGCACGCCCTATACCCCCTTAAAGGGGAGATTGCGGTGATTGCAAGGCCTAATAGCCCATCCTGGTACTGTACTCACCCCCAAACATCCACAAGACCTTGAAAAGCAAAGCTGAACCTCATCAGCCTCATCTCGACCCTGAGTTTAAATTTAGGTTTAGGGTTTAGGGTTCAGGGTAACAAAAGACAAAAGGCAAAAACAGAAAAACACACACACACACACACAAAACAAAAAAAACAAGAAGCGCTTGCCCGAGCCACGTTCTGGGTCGTGGATGAAGGCCGCACCTGCCGGCGCTCCATGTCCTCGACGAGGGCCAGGAGCAGCCTGGAGGAGAGTCTCGTTGCGTTTTGCAGTACTTGCCTGAGCCCTGAGCCCTAAGCCCTAAGCCCTAAGCCCTAAGCCCTAAGCCCTAAGCCCTAAGCCCTAAGCCCTAAGCCCTAAGCCCTAAACCCTAGCCCTAAACCCTAAACCCTGCTTAGGGTTTAGGGCAGTTCAGAGCAAATACAGCCAAATCTTAGAAAGCCAGGGGGTGGACGGTTTTCTGCAAATGGTGTTAGAAATCTACCAGACCCTGAGCCAATATCATATTTCTTGTTTCCCGAAATGCCCAACAAGAAATTTCAAGGGTCAATCCGATGAACGCCCTCCCTTAAGGCTCCCGAAGCTACCCCCATGAAACCCCCCTCCCTTAGCAACGCTAACCCTAAACCCTAAACCCGAATCCCTAAACCCTAAAGCCTACATCATGGGCGGTGCCGGTCAATGCCGGTCGGCTGAGATGACGCGGATCGTGAGGGCGAGCATCGATTTGAAGACTGGGCTGACCCATCCACTTCCCACGCCACTCGAGACCCTCAACCCGGATCCACATCACCTGCTGATCCTAAACCCTAAACCCTAAACCCTAAACCCTAAACCCTAAACCCTAAACCCTAAACCCTAAACCCTAAACCCTAAACCCTAAACCCTAAACCCTAAACCCTAAACCCTGATCTGACAAGCTGACCTGATTCTGCGATCTGGGCCTGAGTTTTAGCCTTGCAAACGTCAGGGGCCCAGGGAACTCTTTTTGCCACCCGCCCAGCTGACACCTCACATGTCTAGGGAACTTCGGTTGGGTTTAGGGTTTAGGGTTTAGGGTTTAGGGTTTAGGGTTTGGGGCTTAGGGCTTAGGGCTTAGGGTTTAGGGTATACCGGTCAAGCTGTGATACCCCCAACTTCGGGTAGTCACCAGATTACAGTTTTCAGATGCCTGGCAGGCGATGCCTACCCAAGGACGGAGACTGCCCTAGGATGGCTTCGCAGCAGGACCAGCGAAGAGCTGCTGCTTTCAGGCGTACTAGTGCTGCGTGCTTAAGAGCCTCCTCCCCCCCCTCCCCCAGAAACAAAAAAAACCTTCCTTCAAAGGGCAATGTCGGGATTACTATCTTCCAGCTCTTAAGCAAACGGTCAATATCTCGGGCTCGATGCTATGCGATGTACATGCAGCTATCAGGCCACTCCCCCTTCCATTCGTTGGACGCCTTCCGTTGGGCAGCCCGAGCGTTTATACAAACCTATCATAAACAGTATCGGACTGATATGGGGTTTCCGAAAATAAGGGTACCTTTTTTGGGGTTCCTGCAGTAAGGATTAGAGTATATTTGGGATCTCAAAAAAGGGGTGCCCCAATTTAGGGAAATGCCCATATACGTCTATTACCCGGGGAACTACCAACCTCAAACTGTCCTAGACATCCCCGCCAAAGAGATATCTTGAAGCCCCTCGGCCCCTTCAGGGTTTAGGGTCTGGGGTTTAGGATTTAGGGTTTGGGGTTTAGGATTTTGGGGTTTAGAAACCCAACCCAAAGCCCTTGTCCTGTCATGTATACCCTAATGCCCACCCTGTAGTACCCTGAAAGCAAGAAGCACCAAAACAACCGTGACCCAAATTCCCCTCATACGCTTGCGCCGAGGCCCTGAAGGGCTTGAACCCCAGGGTTTAGGGTTTAGGGTTTAGGGTCTCGGCCCAGGAAGTCGAGAAACGGCCAGGGTCGGCCAGCATCTGAGCACGTCCTTGCTGTATTCCGCGTGTTGCGCTAGGGTTTAGGGTTTAGGTTTGAAAAGGCTTGGCTAACCCCATCTTCCGAACATCGGGACCCCGTCAGAGGATAGCTGCAGGGTCAACTTTCGGCATGTTCAATCATTTTCTGGTGTATTTTGGGGTCCCCAAACCCCCCAAACACTGAACCCCATCAGGTCCACAGAGGCCCTGAGATACCCATAGACTCCACAGTGGTCCTAAAACCCTTTATGCAGCAGGTATCCTCACGAGACCCTAAACCCAAGACCCCTTCTAGGGTTTAGGGCCCCACCCCCGAACAAAAAAAAAAAGTTTAAACTCCCCTAAAACCTTAAATCTTAATGTCAACCCCGGAACACCTGAAAGCTCAATCGCGTGGGGGGGGGGGGGGGCTTAGTAGCTCAGTAACCATATTATAATAAGGGCTAAACCCTAAACCCTAAACCCTAAACCCTAAACCCTAAACCCCTTTTCTGGGTTGGTTTCTTTTTCAGGGAACCCATACCCCAAAAAAAAGGGCGCCAGGGGTGGGGCTTTTTGGGGTTTAGGGTTTGGGGCGGTAGGGTTTAGGGTTTAGGGTTTAGGGTTTAGGGTTTGGGGTTTAGGGTTTAGGGGGTCAGGGCTGTCGAGTTGCAGCTTTCTCGGGTTGTGGGGCCGTAGGTTCAGGGTTTAGGGTAAGGCTTGGTTCCCCTAAACCCTAAACCCTAAACCCGAAACCCGAAACCCTAAACCCTAAACCCTTGCCCTTGAAGCGGGACTAGGTCGTCAGCGTCCGGAATCCTCATCCCATCTGATGCCCCTTCCTTCCCTAAGGCTCCAGCAGGCCGAAGAACCTAAACCCCAAACCCCAAACCCCAAACCCTAAACCCTAAACCCTAAACCCTACCACCCTAAACCCGAAGCCCTGGCTTGGCCCAAACCTCCTGAAGTTGCGCGCGCGCGCGCCGGGCGTCGAAAGCACGGCATTGTACACCACGGCATCTGGTGGTCGGCTTGCCGTGTGCAAGCCTGCCAAGACCTGCACGCATTTTTTGAGGAGCTTTTAGGGTTTTTAAGGGGCCTTTAGGGGTTTAGGGATTTTGGGGGTTGAGGGGTTTTGGGGGTTTAGGGCTTTTAGGGCTTTTAAGGGCTTTTCAGGGTTGAGGGTTGGGATGTTCCCCCTTCTAACAGTCCTTAATAGGCATTATAGTACTCACTAGAATCCCTATTCAGGACTATTAGTATAAGGGGGAACATCCCAAACTTAAAGGTGCATGGGCTACATACAATCCCCTTAGATCCTTAGCAAAAATAATGTGTTCATTGTTCCCTTATTATAAGTAGCGTTGTAAGTGCCCTAGTTAGGGTTGTAGTAGGAATGTTCCCTTACTTATAACTCTGCTGATAACTACCCATGAACCTTCCTGTAAACCCTAAACCCTCAACCCTAAAACCCTACGAAGCGAGCTGTCGGATGGAACAGTTTGTGAGCATGGCCCATGGAGCCCTCAACTTTAAACCCTAAACCCTAAACACTAAACCCTAAGAAGGATCCATAACTCAAAGCCTGTTGAGGACTCCGTACTGCTTGACACCCCTTCAAGCCCAAAACGACCATACCCTAAACCCTACACCCTACACCCTCACACCCTAAACCCATAATCTAGAGAATCGCAGCCAATCCATCCGCCAACCCTCCCTAGTATATCCCAGAACCCTGAAAAGCGCCCGAAAAACCCTTTTAACCCTAAACCCGAGAAGCCCCCCCAAACCCCAAAGGGTGCGACCCGAAAGCACGCAGGGCTCAGGAATTCATTCGGGTTTAGGGTTTAGGGTTTAGGGTTTAGGGTTTAGGGTTTAGGGTTTAGGGTTTGGGGTTTAGGGTTTAGGGTTTAGGGTTTAGGGTTTAGGGTTTAGGGTTCAGAAGGATTTAGGACTCTCCGAGAAAAGGCCTGGAGTGCCCCCGCCCAGGAACGCTGCTTGCGCAGGTCCGTGATGGTCCGCGTGGCCTGCCTCAGTCGAAGCTTCAGTGGCCTTCGGAAGGGCTTTTCAGGGCTTTAGGAGGATTTAGGGTTTAGGGTTAAGGCCCAAACCCCCAACCCCAAACCCTAAGCCCTACACCCACATATATATATATATATATAGAGGGTTTTGGTTTAAGGGCATCCGTGCATGCAGCTCTCATTTTGCGCCCATGAAATCGCACATTGGGGTGGCTTGTAGTTGCACCACACACATGCAGAACTGTGCGGCCTTCTGTGGCCGCTTGAATTCTTGAAACGGACGGTAGGGTTTAGGGTTTAGGGTTTCGGGTTTAGGGTATATGGTGAAACGGAAAGAAACGGAAAGTTCAAACTAGTCCAGCAAGCTGCTGAGCGTAGGGGGAGGAGCCACCCTAAACTCCGGATTTGCTGCTGGAGGTGAGTGGCAGTTGCCGAGCCCTAATTAAGCTCACCTGCGCAGTTCAACCGACTGCTTCAATCGGTCTGGACATCTGTTTTAAATGGCTCAGAATGTCCATTAATAATATGCTAGACCCGAGCCTGACGCACGAGCTCCGCTGCGTGCGCAGATGACAACAGCTACGCAACTACTGTGACAACTGTAGTCTGTATTTTGGGCAACTGAAGTACTTTAAAAAAGAAACAAAGTATGTAAGGTGATAGTTTTCCCATTTACTTGGGCGCCTGTGTTTTTCAGGTGTCACTCGCAAATTCCCTCAAGGTCACCATGCGACGCCACCGGGGGCGCCGAAGTGTCGGGAATGTAGAAGTCGGTCAAGTAGAGCCACAACTTAGTAGCCTGGTCCTGGAATCAGTTCAACTATCAAAAATTGCAGTGTCAGTCGTTACGCTACTTGGCCGATTTTGAACTCACCATCCAAGGTGGTGCACCGTTTACCTCAAAAGGAGGAGGAAATGCCTTAATTCGTACGCCATACAGTCTTCTCACGGTTCAGTATAAAGGTTTGAAAAGGACCCAAATGAGGCACCCTAATTTCGGAAATCACCAAACGGCTTCCAAGGACTGCTAACCCCCCCTTAACCCCCTGTAGTAACTGCAGGTTCGCAGGTCTGACACCGTTAGCCTCACCAACCGGCAGAGCACCTAAACCCTAAACCCTAAACCCTAAACCCTAAACCCTAAACCCTAAACCCTAAACCCTAAACCCTAAACCCTAAACCCTAAACCCTAAACCCATTTTCCTGAGGCATCGAGGACGACGGTTCCACGCGAGGCGACAGCTTGGAGGTTCGGGCCTGCCAAATACTTCAGCTTCTTTCAGCTTAAATATCTTACGGTAGTTACATGGTCCCTGGGTTTAGGGCTCTGTGAAATTTAGGGTCGAAGGAGTCGGACCTTTCTTAGGGCTTTGAGGGCTTGAGCGCTCTACTTGCAGACCTGGAACTTCATTCGTGGAGGGCGTTTAGGGTTTAGGGTTAGTAAGTAGGCACATAGTCTAGTTGTTTAGGGTTTAGGGTTAGGGTTTAGGGTTTAGGGTTTAGGGTTTCGGGTTTAGGGTCTTAGACAGGAGCGTTTGACCAGGATGGGCTATTTGGCCTTCGAATCCCCATTATCAACACCCTAGAGAGGGCCCTGTTTGCAGGTACCTATAAGGTGTAGTAGCCCATCCTGGTATCTAGGCTGCCCAGTAACCAAGGCTTAAAAAGGGTGCCCTTTTTTGCTTAAAGGGGTTTATAAGGGAACCTAAACCCCCCAAAAGGGAATAAGGGTACTACTGGGCATCCTAGGTATGAGTGTCTGCAAATCTTTGGGGTTTCATGCTGCTGCTTTGAGGCCCTGGCCCCCTGTGAGGATGCATTGCTGACAGGAAGCACAAAACCCTAAACCCTAATCCCTAAACCCTAAACCCCCAAGCAGCCTGCATGAACTTCGAGGGGTTGTCCAGCATCCTGATCCAAACCGGCTTCGAGAAGTAGCGCGGCTCCACCGAAGAGTCCCGGGACACTTTGGCCTATACTGAACTTGGAATCCCCTACAATTCGTGCTGTTTCTTAGGAATCATAGTGCCCAAAAAGTTTTTTTAAAAAACATTTCCAAGTACCCCAAAGTGGCTACGTAGTGCATGACTTTGCGGCGAAAGGTCTCCCAGTCTGTTGGCCGAACGAACTTCCGCAGGCTGGGCATCCCATCGCCGTTCTGAGTGCTACGATGATAGTTTAAATGCACTTGTTCCACTTCCTGCTGTGGCTTGGACGTGTCAATCAGGAACATCATGGCGGACAGCTGTGGGATTGACTGCAGCAGGCTCGCATGGGCGCAGTCTGAGCCGTTGGACGACGCCGCCTGCGTCGACCGACCGCGCAAGTTTTTGTGGTCCCAGGTACGGTGAAGCAGTTGTTCGGGAAGTTCCTTGGGCTTCGCATCGGGTATATGCTCTGGCTCCATGTCTTGCTTCATCGCAAGGAGGTGGTAAGGCTTGTCCGAGCCACAAACATGTGACAAGCAAACGTGGAACATGTCAACTCCCACGCGAGTGTGGGCTTTACTGAGCAGAGAGACGCGCATGCAAGGAGGTGCACTGCACTCAACCTTGTGCTGAGACAGACTTGCAGAGGAAGCTGTGAGAAAGTCACTGAATCGGCTATGTTCCAACGGAGAGTCGACAAGCAGCTCGGCAAAGTTCTTGTCCCGGAAGTCTTCTGTCGAGGAAAGCATGCGGTTCAAGCAGGGGCTGTGGTCCTGGATGTTGAGGTTGCCATCAAGCACGACCTTGGGGACGAAATGAACCCCATATGAGGGTCACGCACCCTATTTTATACGAAAATCCCTACAAAGGTATATGAATCCCTAGACCTTTCAGGGTTCATCTAGTAAGGGACTTCTCCATCGCAGATGCCCCGCAGCACTTGCCGGAAACCTGTGACCATGGTTTGGGCATCGGCCGACTTGAACTTCACGGCGAAGTTATCTCTCCTTTACTGTTTAGGGTTTAGGGTTTAGGGTTTGCCAGGTAAGGGGGGCTTGGGGTTTGTAGGGCTCTTACGAGATACTCTTTTTGTTAAAGCTTCCTAACAAATATGCCCGCACCAAAGCATGTCCTTAAGAAGGCCCCAGTCTCAAATAGTTTTCC